TTATATATATATATATATATATATATATATATATATATATATATATATATATATATATATATAGGGATCTTCCTGGTAATAGCACCCCAGTAGAAAAATTTAGAAAATTATTTCTTGAGGGCAATATTGGCAGGACTGTCACTCAAAGTGCCCGGGCGCGGCCAAGTGACAGCACATGGCCTAAGCTAGACAGACTGGGCTCCGGCTGCTGAACATCGATTCTCGGACAGGAAGACAAGAGAGTGAAAATGTTGGGAGTTGACCAGCCTGTCAGCTAGCTCCTCACGACGCATCGCATCCCTCCCGAGCTGCTTCCGGTTGGTTTTCTGATCCTGTGAGCTATCCCATCGCCATCTAGTGAAATCCATCGTTTGCCTGAGTCTTCTCCTAGGGCTGCCAGAACAAAACACCGCAGGCTGGCCATCGTAAAACTGGAGAAATGATTCCCTCCCTGGAGAATCCTGGAGGCCGGAAATCTGAGATCTGGTGCAGGCAGGATCGGCTCCTTCTGGGGCTCCAAGGAAGAGTCTGTCCCGTGCCTCTCCAGCTTTGGTGGCCGCTGGTCATCTTCAGCATTCCTGGGCTTCTACAGGCATCACTCCATTCCTGCTTCTGCCCCCACATGGCCTCCTCTTCTGTGTGTTTGTGCCCAAGTTTTCCTCTTCTTATAAGAACACCAGCCATGGGGTTAGGGCCACCCTAACCCACTACAACCTCTTTCTAACTTGATTAGCTTGCAAAAACTCTGTTTCTAACTAAGGTCATGTTCAGAGGTTCCAGGCGGACATGAATTTTGAGGGGTCACTATTCAACTCAGTCCAACATGCAACAAAACCCCTCTGATCCACATATGTTCCAAACCACTGTTAGGAGTGGGTCGTCTATACCATCTGCTTTAGTCCTGACGACAACCCTTGAGGTGGACGCCTCCATCAGTCTCATTTCAGAGGTGGGAAGATGAAGACCCAGAAAATCTGAGGTCAAATGACCAGTAAGAGGCAGTTAAGATTCAGACCAAGGTCTGTATCACGTACAGACGTGTTCTCCCAATCAGCACACTGTATTCCAGGCTTTGACCTCCTCGGAAATGCATCAGTGGCTCCCCAGCCCCCAGCCGCAAGCTATGAAAGGAGTATGGTCCACTCCCCAACCTGGGACCGGGGCTTCACATCTCCACGTGGCTGTTCTGCCTTCTCTGTACCTCAGCACTAGGTGACGACCAAAGTCAGAAAATCTGGACGAGAACCGGGAAGGATCCTGAGAAAATCAGAGAACTGCCACAATTGTCTGGTCAGACGTCCACATGGGCAGCAGGTGCAGGGAGAAACCTGCTGAGCTCTGGGGCAGATGGGCGAAGAGACAGGAACAGGAGGTAGGCCGGGTCTGGGGCCGGGCAGTCCCTTCTCTGTGAGGCCCAGGCAGTGAACGCGTAAGCCTGGATGTCCAGGGCACCAAAAAACGTTAGAGCTCTTCCCTCCGCAAGACTCTTGGTTGAAGGACGTGGGTCATGTAACAGTTCAGTGCTCTTCAGTGATCCACCCCGTACTCTGGGACAAATTCAGATCTTCCCAGAGCCTGTGAAGAGCGGGGAGAGCCATGGTCTTCAGAAATATTAGATCTAGGGTATGTTGGATTTTGAACTTCAGAGACTATCCCTCATCCTTCAAAGGAAACCCCCAACCACACACATACTCCAAGAAAATTTCGGTGACCGAATTGTTCCCTAGGGCAAGAGCATGAGGCCCTGGAAGGGGGTACTGACTTGTGGCACCAGAGGTGGGTCAGAATGTCCTCAGGTAAAAATAGAATCAGTGAGCCAGGAACCTCAGTCCCAAGGGGAAGAAGTCACGTGGCTGGAGGACAGTGTCGTTGGTACTTGTGAATGACTAATCTGCAAAGATGTCAATCAAGGGGGCTTCTTTTGTAACATTTCCTATTGTTATGAGTGCCACACATTCCTCACAGAAATACTAGAGAGATAAACAAAAATAAAATAAAAATTATTCATTAGCCTACCATCTGGAGACACCAGCTGCAAACATTTGTATTTCTACCATTCCAGATATTTTTCTAAGTATTTCCCCCCAAAATGGTGCCTAAGGTGCATAGTTTTGCAATCTGCCTCTTTAACTTAAAAATGTATCCAAAGCATCTTTCCGTCCCATTAAATGTTCCTCTACAACATGCCTTCTCATGGCTGTATAATAATTCATTGCATGATGCCCTCGCTGAACATTTAGTTGTCCGGATTGTTGCCATAATAACCAATGCTGCAAAATTTCATGTTGCTGCTAAATCTCTGCACATGATTTATTTCCTTAGACTAAATGCCTGAAAATGTAATTACTGGGTCAAAAGCTACGTATAACTCGATGTTCTTTTTACACGTATTGCTAAACCATCCACCAGGAAGGTTGTACGAATTTATACTCCCACAGATGCGGGAGCCCGTTTTGAGCGTCTTTGCCAACAGTGTACTTTGCCTTTTAAAAAAATTGTTAAGTCACCACTTATTCTATAAAAGCATCCACAGCGCTGAAAGGCAAGCTTTTTCCTGCCAAGAAACTCATTTGAGTCACTAGAGGATTAGTCCAGTTATTCTAAAACCATTTAATTTCTGTCCTTGTGCCTGATGGTGCTTTTCCACCCACTGGCGTCTTGGGAAAGAATATAGTAAAGGAGAACTTAAATGAAGAGGGAAACATACAAATTTTCCTGTCTCGGCAGACACTGAAGAGGCTGGTGCTCCAGTCCCCACCCGTCTGGACAATGGCTGTGACCGCGGTCCTGCCTCTGGCTCCCCGGACAGGCTGCCTCACCACAGCCTGGGCTGGCACATGGCTCCTGGAGAGTCAAGGGTGGTGATTAATTAGGAGACAAAGAAGTTGGTTCAGAAGGACAGCTGTTAAGCCAAGACAGAGTCACGAAGAGGAGACTCGGACCTGGTGACACCAAGCCCAAGCTGACCTCACCATCCCCCCCATCATACCTTCTCTGACTTTTTTGCCCCACCTCTATTAATAGCATTATTATTCCAAATCCTGTCCCTCAAATTCAACGTCCTGTCTGCTTCCTCGGTGGTTCTCAGTGCTTCATAATAGTCAAGTCTCAAATTTGGAATCAAGAGGCCTGAGTTCAAAGCCCAGCACAGGAGGCAGGCTGGAAGGGAAGGGGTGCGTGTGACACGGGCAGTGGGACATCGGCGGCAGACAGCTGGGGGTGCTGCGGCAGAGGTGAGAGTGGGAGCCACCTGCGCAGAAGTGGAAAGCGGGGCCCTTTCATGAGCCATTAGGCGTCACAGACAATGCTCCAGGGCCGAACGAGCTTTTCAAGAGCCTACAAAAGTGGGACCTGGAAAAAAGTATTGGCCCCAAGATAGAAAAACTGCAAAATAGAAATCAGTTAATGCTCCATTAAACACAAAAATCCAGCATTATATTACTCTCACTCGTCAAATTTAGGATTCACAAACATTTTATTATATTTGGAAACAACTTACAATTCTGTCACTTTTTTTAAAAAAACCCAAGTATGAAGGACTGCTGAGAAGCAGCAACCAATCGTGACTCAGACAAATAATTTCAAACGCAAAATTATAAAAATCCTTTCACTTACTGTACATCAAAAAAACCCCACAAAAATAATGTATGGTATGGATACACTTTAAGATATTTGTTGTAATGTGGGTGAGGACCTATTGCTATGGACTGAATTGTGTCCCCCAAACTCATGTGTTGACACTGACTCCCAGGGTGACTGTATTTGTATATAGGGCTTTTGGGGGTAACTAAGGTTAAATGAGGAATGGGGTGGGGTCCTGGTCCAACAGGATTGCTGGCCTTGTAAGAACAGGAGGGGCTATGTAAGCAGACAGGGGGAAGGGGGCAAGCCAGGGAGTGTCCCCACCAGGACCCGACCATGCTGGGACCCTGACTTTGACCTTCTGGACTGCAGAACTGTGAGAAAATAAATTTCTGTTCTTTCGGCCACCCAGTCTACGCTAGTTTGCTATGGCAGCCCAAGAGGATTTCAAACTGGCCCTGAAAACACCCTTTACACTTCTCTCCTTCCTGTGTCCATGTAAGCTCCTTGAGGTCAGGGCACATGCTGCTCCTCCCTGGAGCCCCAGGCTCCCGCGTGCTACCTTCAACCCAGGGGTGCATGTATCTGTTGAATTGGATCAAACTGAATTCACACGTCTCTTCCGTCATATCTGAGCCCTCCTCAAGCCTAGCTCTAAGCGAGGTGACTCTCACTGTGCCATCCTCTAGGAAGGGCACGACTCTCAGCTGTGGTGATGAAATAAAGCAGAGTGGCCGAGGAGCTCCCTGCCTCCCTCCACAGCATCCGAGGGTGTACCTCTCGGTGTGTTGATGCCCACAGGTTGGTGCATCCGTCATTATTCTAGGAGCTGCCAATTATCTCCAATAAGAGGAATCGCTCAGCACTGAGCCTCTGGATTCCATTTTCCCCTGAAATAAGTCATTTACAGTCTGCAGCCCTCAACTAGGATTTTCTGCTTCTATCTCACTCAGCATTATGTGTGTAACACCTTTTATTATGGCAAGGCAGCCCGTCACCTATCCCAAATCAAACAACTAAGAACAGATTTTCCTAAGTGAAAATAAAAGTTGGGTCTTAGGGGGTGTTTTACGTAGTTTTGAATTCAAGAAGTACATTATTGAGTTTCTTTCCTTTACACCCTGATTCTTTGGTGACTTTTATATTAAAACATCTGAGTTAACAAGCTTTGGCTAAAACATTTCAGTTCAAGATTATAAACTCATGTGTCATAATGAAAATAACAAGCATAGCCCTGGCCGGGTGGCTCTGTTGGCTGGAGTATTGCCCTGTGCACAAAAAGGTTGCGGGTTCGATCCCTGGTCAGGGCACATGCCCAGGTTGCTGGTTCTACCCCCGGTCAGGGGCATATATGGGAGGCAACTGATCAATGTTTCTCTCTCCCCCCCTTCCTCTCTCTCTATAAAAAAAAAATCAATAAAAACATATTGAGGATTTTTTAAAAAGGTAACAAGTATAGCTACCCTTCCCTGAGCACTTTCTATGTACAAGGCACTTGGTAGTTGGTTTAAGATCTGAATAATTATTCAGGGGGCGCTACACGGATGGACTAATGTAGCTGTGCTGGCTTCCTGTATAGCTTTTCCCGCACAGCTTTCAGCTCTAGTATCCCAGAGAATGTTATAGGACCATTTGATTTCAAAACGGTGGGAATTACTGGCAGCCATCAGAAATAGTTTCACTTGGTCAGGGTTCAACAATTTAAGAATAAAGAGCTATCCTTTCACCCAAGCCAGCCCTTCTCTTTTCACGCATGAGCCAAGCAAGGCCAGAAGGAACTAATCAGTTGCCCCCTTTTGAACCACACAGGGGAAACGATACAACTACTTCCTTCCCGAGCCCACCTTTTTTCCTTGGCTCCTTTTAAGAGAGTGATTTGATATTCCAACCGAAGAGCAAAGGCTGGGGGGGTGGGGGGCCACCGAACTCCCTACCTCCAGTTGGAAATAAAATGTTCATCTTCAGATGCTATGAGTGAAAGCGACAGAGGAGAGTGTATATTGAGTAAGCACATATCCTCGGGAAGCTTCGAGAAGTCACTTCCGAAACAATTCATAGTGATGGGTGTTCTCTGGTCACTGGGCTCTCCTTTCCCTTTGGCAGGAAGCTGATTCTAAGTGTAGGTGCGATCCAGAGGGGAACGGCTCTTCTACGGAATGCTGCCTGGATATTCTGGAACCTGAGGTCATAGCAGGGCAACTGACAGGCACCTTACCTCTTTAAAGACAGGTACACGCCTAATTGTGGGCATGTCCAGCTTACTAATCTGAAGGGAGATACTGCTGAAGATATAAAAACAAAACAAAACAAAAATCACTGGTGGAAAACCCCTTTGCCTTCAGAGATAACTCTAGTATTTATATAGCAAAGTGTCACTTGACCTTCCCTTAGGGGACTCAGAGGCTGTAAGTTTCTGCCACCTAATGTAAGGGAGAAGCAGCAGGGGCCCCTCATCACCCCAGGCCTGCTGGTCCAACTCGGCACGATGAGTCCCGTAAATGACCTGAAAGCAGGGACAGAAAGGTCTTTCACCCCAGACATTGTACTTGGTTCCATCTCGTAAAAGATGGTCTCCTGGTTTGAGCTATGCTAGGTTGTCCTCAGCCTCTAACTTTTTTTTTTTTAATATGTCTTTATTGATTTCAGAGAGAGGAAGGGAGAGGGAGAGAGAGAGATAGAAACATCAATGATGAGAGTCATTGATCGGCTGCCTCC